AGCCCCACTCCCAGTACATTTCAGTGGGAGACCTCTGCGTGCATCCATGGAGACGCAATGGGGCGGGGAAGGAACTGTGGGAGTGCACGTTCCAAATCCTGTGTCTCCACGTGTGGATCAGCAGCACTTCGCTTTCTTGTCAGAGACCTCGCTGTTACAGAGCGAGACCTGCTGAGAAGTGAGGGGCTGAGGGAACCCCTCCACCTCCTCCCTTCTGCAGCACCCTGCGCCCCTCCCAGCAACAGCGGTCACTTGGCAGTGGGGCTGCTGCGAGCTCAGAGCCGCTGTCACCCTGCATGTGTCCGCTCAGCTCGGTCTTATGCTGTATAGTTACTAAATATGTACAGGAGGGCCATGGCATCTTTCTGAGTGGATTTTTCTTAAGAAATGTGCCAGTGTTTATGAGGTTCATGGTATTTCCCTGTCCTTGCCGTTACCGTCACTCAGCTTTTTCTCCATAGGCTTCATACTTTTTTTTTTTTCTTGAAATGGGGGAATCTGCTGTTTGCCCCTGGCATTCCTATATGTGACCCTCCCTCCTACTCCTCCAAGGAACAGAGTTGCCTGAGGTTCTGACAAAAGATAAGCCTGTAAACTCATCATCTGTGTTTTGTAGTTGGAGAGAAGCTGGTGTTCTGCCCAGCTCTGCTTGGTCCCAGACAGCTCCAGCAAGAGCAGGTGTTAAAAGTGGCAAGCATGTGTATCACTGTGATGAGCCGTTTGCTTACTGCCCTGTTCCCTTGCAGCCACACCAGCTGATGAAGAACTGCTGCCAGGTGGGTCCTTCAGCAGGCCACAAATGACCTAGTTTCATTTTAAGCAGACAGACTCTGTTTGGCCCAGGGGCGTGGAGTGAGAGAACTGTGTTTGTGGGTATGAGTCTGTATGGCCAACCCCATGACCCCACCCCTCCAGCCCAACATCCTGTGAGCACATGTGACCTGGGCCCCAGGGACCTGTCTGTTCCTCTGGCTTGGGCTCTTGGCGTTTCCCACCTGCCCTCGGTACCAGCCCTTGGTGGCATCACAGTTGGCCACTCAGCTGCTCTGTGCTGGCAACTGCAAGGATAGGAACAGCTCAGCGCCCGATGAGCTCCCTGGGCAGATGTGAGGCTGGCAACTCCCCTGCCCTCTGTTTGCAGGCATAGGCCATGGGGCACAGGGTCACAGTCCCATGAAAGACAACTGGAGTCTGACCTCCCAGCCATCTATGGGGTGACTGGGAGACAGCTGGATAGCAGGTATGAGAGGCCCAGATAGCCAAGTTGTTGCAAGACAGAGTGGCTACAATTGAATTGACCCCCTGGGAAGAACGAGGTAACACAGTAAGGGTAATGATGCTCTAGATGTCTGTGTCCTCGGAGGCTGGGCTCCGCTTGGCAGAGGGAGCGTGGTGTGTGAGGTGGAGGGCGGTTTTGCAGACATCTCAGCTGCTTTTCTGAGGAGGAGTTGGTTCTCATCTCAGGCTTCTGCAAGGGCGATCATGGGATGTTTCTACCACCACCCACTCTTGGAGCTGTACTGGGTCTTGGCTTGGGGCCCCGAGGGTGGGGCCTGTGTCAGAAGCGTTTGGTGAGATAGGTGGAGGTGGCAGGCAGGTATTCTCAGGGTTCCCACTGATGGGTCCCTTCACCAGAGACCTGGGAGGAGGTCTTTGCTCTCCAAGTGCCGCACCATGTGGGATGTTTCTTCCCTAAAGAAAAAGACACAGGAAAGTTGTCTGTCTGTGCCCTGCTCTGGATTTATTGTTGTACTTGGACCCAGAAAGGGAAATGCTTCCCTCACCCTTTCACTTTCTTTCTGAACCCCTGTTAAGTGATGACTGCAGATTCTGGAAACAATTAGCTACCCATGACTCAGCTGCCAGCTTCATTTTCTCTGCCTTTTGGGAGAGGCCCTCTCACCCAGGCCCAAGAGATTTGGAGACAGGAGTCAGGCCAGGTCTGAAGCAGGAGAAGGGAGGCCCCTCCTGTCTACCCAGCTGAAATTTGGCTTTGGGAAAAGCACAGCTTGTTCGAGCTACATGTGCCAAGCAGGCTTTTCCTTCCTCTTGTAAGTAAAGTTCATGTTTCTGCAGTCCCATCATCCTAGGAGGGTTATATTGACTGAGATTCAAGCTCTCCCTTTGTCTCTGGAAACTGCCCCCTGGTTCTGACAGACTCCCCCAGGCAGTGGAGGAAGGATGCCGAGGTGCCTCTAGTCCATGCCTTTGCTGTGGGAAGCATTTGGTGCTGAGAGGGTTTCCCAACCACCCCATCCCTTTCTGGGGCCACAGTGTCGCTGCTGTGTGTCAGTGGCATGTCACTGTGGTTCAGTGAGCACATGGGTGGACGTGCAGAGACTGTCTGCTCAGCCCCCAGCAGACATGCCCCTGGGGTGAGGACACAGGCTCTGCAGGGCATCTCCCCCTCTGGCTCAGTCATTGCCTGCCCACCCTTCACTTCTTAAAGGTGCATAAGAGAGGAGGGCCGGCTGGAGGGTGTTGTCGGAAGGTTTCAGCCTACCCTTCACAATTCCCCTTGTGCACAGCTCAGTTTCCATCACTCAGGGCCCACCCAGGAAAATGGATTTCAAATGGTGGTTTTCATCCAGAGATTTGTTTAACACAAAACAAGAAAAGCTGAGAGGCAAAACAGGGGAGTGAGGGGCAACCCAGAGGTGGGAACAGCAACAGCAAGCTGCCCCCATCCTGAAACTGGCTGGGCACCATGGGAGGACGCGTCACCAGAGCCTGGGGCCAAGGCCACTGGGGGACCTGCCATACCGCGGATCTGTCTGGTGGGAGCTGGAGCCTTGAGAAGCCATGGTTCTTGTCAGAAACATTTCCCCAGGCGGAGAGAGGGGGCCCCGGCCTCTCCCCTCCTCTTGGCCTCCAGAATCCTGCAAGTGCCTCACAATAGTGAAGCCCAGTTGGAAGCAGCTGCCCTGGGAGCCTGGGACAGGCAACCCACCAGGTCAGTCCCCTGCCACTCAGAGCAGAGCAGAACAGCGGGCTGAGGGCAAGCAGGTGGGGCTGTGCGTGGCCTCAGTGCACTCGGTGTCATGTCTGAGCCTGGTGTTCGTGCCCCACTGCTGTCCTAAGTCCCTGGCGAGGGGAGGCGGAGGAGCTGCCCCGTGGGTGTTTGGAGATTCTGTTTTACTCTGCCATGGAGGAAACGGTTTTGGGGAGGGAGGGGGAAGCCTTTATTCTTTACTGTTGTCCCTGTTTTCCTTTGGGGGAATTTACCCAGTTAGCAGCCCCTCCTCACCATTCCCCCCAGGAAGGCCATGTCCCAGTTTTCTGTCCACCCCTCCTGTTCCTCTGCACCGTGTCTCTGATTTTCCCTGCCACGGAAGCTAACCCAGAGCACACACCCATGCTCATGAGTGTTTCCCCAGGATAATTCGTTCTGAGCATGATACCGCAGTGTGGACTGTCTGTCTGTAAGAAGATGCCATCTACTAACTAATTTGTATTGTGTTTCCAATAAATTCCTGGAAATTTTGCCTGGTTTTACGCTGTTCTTTACTAGGATGGTGACTCAGGTGTAAGACTGTGTGTGTGTACCCCTAGGCCCAGCATCAGGTGGTCCTTGTTTCAGAACCTTGAGCTCCGAGGGCCCCCGGGAGGTAACAGGCCAGGCCAGTTGGTCTGCTGTGCCCCGGCTGCACTGAGACTCTCAGAGGCCTTTCCCCAGGGTCTGCATCTTCTTCTGCTGTCTCATAAGCCACATCCTAGGGACATGGAAGTT